CAACCTGTTTCAGGAAATCTAATTTGAAAAATCGACAGTGAAATTGGTACAAATTGAGCATGCCATTTGTTTCTGGTTTTACTCTTCGATTTTTCGAATTTAGTATCGCGGTCGCGGTCGTGGATAGGTCGCGAGTAGGTCCCGAAACGAACGTTTATGCAGGTATTGCTCGAGCAAGCACGTGCGAACGAACAACGATCACTATGATCGATGATCGTCCATGTGTACTGGAGTCAGCTTCCGCGGTTTATCTTTTTATTTCATCTTTATAAGTTATTTTTTGGTTTGCGATTAGAAAGACTCGAGCTTAGATTTAAGTTTCAGCGGGCATCGCGCCCGAAGAAAAGAAGAGGCCCGGCAAACTGCCACGAAAAGGGTCGCAACAAATGGTTTCTCATCCTCTGGATTATTTAAATGATTCCAGAGCATGGGAAGTCATTCTCGTTACTACTTTGTCACTATGCTCTTTTAGTATTTGTAGTTGTACTTTTTTTCTTCTTCATCATCGTTTATCTTCTTTTTGGGCAAATCGCGTTTTTTCTTGTTAGTGTTGCGAGAGATTGATTACGGTTTAAATTAGAGTTGCGAAGAAATGATAATCGTGTTTGCTTTAGAGTTGCGAGTTATGGTACCGCGATTGTCTTTTGCAATTGTAATTGTGAATTTTTAAAGTTATCCTAGAGTTTTATATAATAAAATTTGTCTTGTTTTCTATTGTTTTAAATTAGATTATAGAGTCATTGCTTTTAATTAATTTTAAAATTAGAATATTTGAATATTAGTTTTTTTGTTCATACGGTAGATTTTTCTTGATAATAATTTTCGTTGAGTATATATAGTTTTAGAATTAGTGTTCCGATATTGTTTCATCGCGATTATTTTTCCTTTTTTTAGTGTTGCGATAATGAATGATCGCGATTTTCGAATTAGCGTTGCGCTCACAGAATGCCCAAATTCTTTCACTGAATTTGTGGAAGTCTATTCCTGCTCCTGGATCACCTAATGCGGCTGTAGGGATTGTACTGAAGAGACCATTCATCAGCAACCTCCAGCATGGTTGCACTGGACGCGTTGCAATTAGTGTTGCGCATTTTTAAACATGAGTGCATAGATTAATAGCATCGCGTACTTATTTTCGGGAGTTTTAAACATGACGAAGCACTCTTCGCGTTTGATTTTGAAAATTTCCTATTTCATAATTAGTGCTAGCGAATTAGTGTTGCGAAACAAGTTACGGTTTGTTGCTCGAGTTCATAATGTAGATAATTGTACAATAGTCATTCTGATTATTGCGTTGTTGAGTAGAAAATTCTTGTTTTTAATAGCTCTTCTAGCTACTGTGTCGCGATTTCCTTTTCAGTAATCTGGCCCTTCTGGCTATTCATTTGCTTCCTTTTTTCTTTCCAAATGTTCGGGACAGTGGCGTGGAAATTTTGTGTTTAGTTTTTTTAAATTAATATTCCAACAAATGAGTTTGTTACAGATTTAACTTCCAAATGCATGGACGAAAGATGGAATAACATGGACTATGGAATCTAGAGGAAGCGATGCCTGGATCCTGTCTAATGGTAATTAAATATATCTTGTTAAATTTACTTCACAATCTTTTTGACATCAACAAAAGGAGATTGCGCGTAGATTACACTAAATATAGAAAACCCTATGACCGAATGATTATTTTTAAATTATTCAGCTTTATTGCGAAAGGATTTACTTCGTAAAATCTGTCGACAACAAATTTCGAATCTTATAACAACTGACTGATTGTTAAAAGCATTATCTCGAAATAACATTATCTTAAATAACGTTTTGTTATTAGTTCATTTTTCTTCTGTTAATTTCAAATCGCCTAGGACTTACGGTCGAGAGTCACGGAAAACATCGGCCGTCTTCGTTCGTAATCTTTCGTTTTCGTTCGGGGTATGTCGTGGACGATCGGGTTGGCGGGTAGTTTCGTGGTCGCGTTGCTTCGTCCGGCTTTCAGTTTATAGATACCGTTCTATGAAGAAGCGTCGTGGTGTGACTGTTGTGTCCAATTTTACTTCGTGTATTTCTCGAACGATGAGTGACGAGAAGTCAGTGGGTGATATCAAATCGTGATAGCAATCAGGCGACACTGTGCAGCATGACAGAGCGTCGTTCGGCTATTTTCATCGTTGTTCCATTAAACCACCCTTTAGGGCAAGTAATGTAAACTTTCCATCACGTTAAATCTATCGATTTGAATTTTAACATAATCCCTATTTCGAATATGGTATTAGGATGTCACGGAGATGAGCTTTTTCGTATAATGGGAGGAGAGTATCGGTTCGATGTGTCATAAAGGTTAATAGCTACAGGGGATGTTGCCTTTAATGTCGTGACATTATGTGATAATTCGTAATTATCAATTGATAATTATCAGTGTGATTTTATTCACCATCCAATTGGTAATTTTTTACTTCAGTCGATTGGCGATTCGTTTAGTATCGATAGCTCGGGCTGCTTTAAAATGTAGATCTGATTATCTCTAATTGTCTGTAGGATCTCCCATCGATTAAAATATTAGTTTTCTATCGAATTCCCAATTAAGATGACCACTTCTGGGGTCTGTTGAATTTAATTATAATGGAACGCTCGCGGCGTATATCAGCATGCGAAGCGCAAGTATTATACATACTACGTACTTTCTTTTTTTTTTTTTTTTTTTTTTTTTTTTGGGGATTTTTTTGGGGAAAAAATTTT